GGGCGAGGCGGGGAGCTCCGAGGAGGTGATAACGCCCCATTCTATCAGTGACCACTGACCCAGTCCTATACCGCCCGCCACGCCCCGCCACGCCCTCTTTCATTTCCTCCGACATTGCTACTCTCCTCGCTGTCAGACGGCACGCAGTGCGTTGATTGGACGTGACCGATCAGAGGGGGAGGAAAGGTTTTTGTCTGTTTTGCTGGCCAGTGGGGATGAGGGTTGGGTTGGTATTTTTGGGGCTTCCAGACGGTGGTTTTTTAGAATCTTTGTCCCTAGTTCGACTGCACCACTGGACGTTTTCTGTCGCGTGACCACTGACAGTTGCTAGTGTGTCCAGAGCGTGTGTCGTCCTAGGCGAGCCGCGTGCAATCAACCCTGTATTTATCGTTCTTTGCGGCTGGGATGTGTGCGGGTGGAGGCCGGGTGGAGGATGCTAGGCAAGGAGGGCGGGATGAGCACTAATAACACTACTTACACCGACTTCCGGGTCTCGTACCCTATGTTGAATGCGGAGGAAGGGTCGCACGTCTTACGTTTACCACCCCCTTACACCTCACTCCCTTACTCTTTGCCGTCGCCTGGGCTTCCCTTGTCTCTCCCTCTCGGCGGTTCTAGCAGTGCCCCCCCCCCCCCACACACACACATTCACTCCCACAGCAGGCTGAAAGGTTTTCCAGCTTCTTTAGAGAGATGGCCGACGTGAACGGCTCATGACGCTGGCGCGCGGCTCTAAGGGAAGCACCGCATGTTGTGGGGGTGGGAAAAAAAATGTGCCTGGAAAATATCTTAGCAGACCTGAACAGACGACATAGCGATAGAGAAAGATGTTTTTTGCGACTCCGTCGCCTTTGTTGCTCGATCCCTTATTTACATATGCGGCTTTTCAACGGTCCACTTGTTGTATATCGAAATTTTTTACAGTGTCCTCCGCCCCCCCTCCTTTCAGGCGCGTTATTAGGTTAATAACCATACGCCCGGTCAGCCTCGCCCGCCAGAGGATGCCTCCTATGCGCCGCGTGTAAACAGCTGGCTGCTCGTGTCAGATCCTATCCGATCCGATCGGAAGTCGCTTTGAAACAAGTGAATCTTGCCTGGGGTTTGGCGGGGAGGGGGCCTGCATTTTTGACGCTGGCCAGAGGGAAGTCCCCGGACACGAAGAAGGCCTCCTCCCCGTCGCGTCTCTTATTACTTACGGCCCCCGGCGGGGACTTCCCTCTGACCAACAGCCTGGGCTGGCCGGTCCTTTGGGGAGAGAGGGGAGAAAAAAAAAAGAAAGATGAGCACAGGACGTTGCGATGAGCTGACGGGGAAGGTCTTTTTTTCCCTCTACACTTCGTCACAGGTGTCGGTAAAATAAATGCGGTAACCGCAAAAGTGGTGTCAGGGTGGAAGTGGGTGCAGTCGCACCGGCCGAGGCGCACTGCTTCGCTTGCGCCTGCACTAAACGGGCGCCAGTTAGGTCGTTCCGCTCCTATCTGTGCGGAAGTCAAAGAGGTCAAGTCCAAACACACACACACACACAAACACACACTCACGGCCGAGCGCGCCCGGCTCTTGTGAAGCGCTCGCTGCGGTGTTTTCTTTGCTTTGTCATACGGACTTGTCGACTTTACTTGCCTTCGTGTTGGCCGTGTCAACTTTGTAGCAGCGAGCCCTTCGTATAGGGCGGACGCCCGTGATGTCACTGCGACTGCTGTTGCAGATATTTGGGTTCGCCTCGTCTGTCTGCGGCCTTTGCGGCTCACTTTGTTGGAGCATGTCTGCGCGGAGCGCAATCGCATGCACAAGCTCACCGCAGTGACTCGCTGCGGCAGCAACAGCAACGTCTTGTCTCTGGGTGTGGTCAGGTGCGAGCACTGCGGGTGGATATACCCCATCCCACCCCACCACACCTCACCCCATCCCGCATCACCTCACCCCA